TTGTGAATTTAAAAAATTGGGGTTGGGGGGATCATTGAAAAAATTGCAAGCCTCAACAAGCCTCACCGCCAGACATTGAATAACATTTCATGACAAGTTCAACATTCGACTAAAATATTGAGGGCATGTGTTTAATATTTTGATTTTTAGCATTTTACATTTGGGTTGTTTAAAGGAAGCAACAACATTCAAATACAACGTACCGGTACGTTCTACAAACTGAATTTGTTTATTCTAAAAAAAAAATAGGAAAAAAATCTAATTAAAAACATCTATTTTATACTGTAATATATTCATCTCACACATCAACATTTTAAATGTTGGTATTTCGCATGACTGTTTTTTTTTTTTGGGGGGGGGGGGTGTTTGTTGGGGGTATTATGCTGATGTTTAGAGAGGGGATGCTTGCATGAGTGAAGCAAGGAGCAAGCACGTCTTCAGATATCCACACTCATAAGATGCAGCCCATAGGCCAAATAAAAGTGAAGCACTGCCGTTAGCATGCAGGGCAACCCTGCCTGGCCCAACCCTCCGTTTGACTGGGGGGTATCGTAATTGAAAATGTCTATCTAGCTCTGTCTCGTCCCATCCCCCTTCTCATTTCCACCGCTACCAATCTACCGAAGCAAGACAAATGTTGAATTTGTGGTTTGCAATCAGCTTCGTGTATATCATCGCCTCGGCAATGGTTTGGCAGATGTTTTGGTGGTACAGGTGTGTCAAGATCCCCCCCTTGAAAAAAAAAATGTTTCTATTTACAATCAACTATTTATACACAACAATCGCAGGACATTGTTTATAACTACCGGGTTGAGACTGAAGTGTGTTTACTGGTTGTTTCTTTTTCTCTCGTAATATTGGGGGTTTTTTTGGGGGGGGGGGATTTCTTTTCTAATTTTAAGAAATATTGCACACTTTTGCATTTTTGTAATAAATGTAAAATACTACAAAATGTAGTGTTTTGTACACTATCATAGTGCATGTGTTTGCACAAATTATTGTTTTAATTTTAAAGAACAGTTAGGACTTAACTAATATCATTTAGGGGATTTGCATCATGTATTTCATTTTTTTGAAAAGCTAGGATTACATTGTGGTATATGCACACATAATTTGTCATTCTGACTAAAATGTACATGATGCATAGTAATTTCCCATGGTACATATTTGAGTAACTCTATTTTTAATTAAGATTTTTGCCATAGACCCATGGGCAATCTGATCACAGAGATGTGTACATAAACATACATCCACGCGGTATCGTGTGTAAACATTGCAATTTGTCATGAAATATGATTTGCACTTTGCGTGTGCGGGGACATATCCCGCGTGAAATATTTGCATTATTCAGTGCACTCGTCTACGACCGAGTCCAAAACGGGGCAAACGGCCGATTGCTGTGTTCCCCGGGACGAATTTAAAGAGAGGGGTGGACTTGAATCGCAAGTGCAAATGCAAATGAGCCAGGATTGTTCCGTCCGCCCCGAGCCTAGTCGGACCCACGGTAGTGGGCGTTTTGTCCGGGTAATATGACACCCGCGACTGGGAGTCATACAGAGTGCAGCGTGCTCAGTAATCGGAGTAGCATACATAGAGAATGAGAAACCCAGATAAGCCCAGTCAGTGGTGGGCGTTATGCCCAGTAACATTTATCTCTTGAGTTAAAGAGGATGGAGCCCAGACAGGAGTGGGTGTTGAGATTAGTACCTCAACACCTCACTGGGGTAAGGGTGTCATTCTGGATGGGTGGAAGATAACCTAGTCAGGTGTGGGTGTGGAGATCCTCTTCTCTCAGGCGAGTCCCTAAATCAGTGTCTGTATCTTTGGACGGGGAAACTTCGAAGTAAAAAAAAAATTACTTCTGGGGTGGGTGTTGAATTAAGAGTGAAGCTTAAAAGGAAGGACTCCAGAATTTAAATTAGGAAGTGGGTGTTGAACCAAAAATGGTCCCAGGATTTAAATTAAGGAATGGGTTTTGAACCCCCAAAAGGACCAAAAATTCACTTTAAAGATTGAGCAATGAACCCCCAAAATATAAAATTGAGGAATGGGTTTTGAATCCCCCTAAAGGACTAAAAGAAATCCTGAAAAGAACCCAAAATTCAAATGGAGGAGTGAGCTGTGAACCCAAAAGAACCAAGAATACAAATTCAGGAGTTTTGAACCCAGAAAGGCACCCAGTATGCCCAGTTCATGAGTGGGTGTTGAACCCAGAAAGGCACCCAGTATACCCAGTTCATGAGTGGGTGTTGAACCCAGAAAGGCACCCAGTATGCCCAGTTCATGAGTGGGTGTTGACCCCAGAAAACAATGAATGTTTGTCTGTTTTCACGAAATGTGAAACAATTCACTGGCGTATTACATGAAATTCAGTAAGCCACAAATAACAAATATTTTCAGGCGACCCTTTGATTTAGCCCAGTCAGTGGGTGTTTATCCCAGAAACGAGATACCTTTCTGGGTACAGGGGCTCAAAGGATCCCATTGGGATCTATTCGCGATGTTTTTCCTGCGAGTACGCATTAAATTCTGTGTAGCGCGGCCAGCTCGAATATCAATGCAGAGTTCTACGTAACGGTCTCGGTTGAATGCAGGATGCGACGTAGCCGGCTCGGTCGTTCAGCAGTCAGTGTTTGCCTATGAATGAAACATGACGTGTTGGTGTTCATTGCCCTATTCTCCGCATTTATGTCACAGGAGGTTTCGTTTTACAACCAAATTACATAGAATTTTTTTTTTTTTTCCTCTCGATTTTTTTTTCACTGTCAATGATGCAATTATCTTCACTGGTTTGGGATGAGCCATTTTGACCTGGGGGAGATAAGCTTCCTTCCTGCTCATTTAAAAACGTCCCGGTTCGTTAGCACCACACTGCAAATAAAAGTTAATAGTCTCGTTGGCTTCACATCTTGAACCCTAATTCAAAATCAAGAAAAGACCAAAGTATTCTGTCGTCATTAGTGTTGTCATCGTTGAACGGTCATCATTCTTTTGTATCACATTGCCCTCACCCACAAACATATTTAACATTCCAACCCAGCCCATCCGCTACTGATAAGGGTTTAATCTTGTCCAGTACCCATCATCGTCTGACTCTACAACTCATCGGATAACCCCCATCAACTCACTACGATCCTCATTATTTATATCCACTCCTACAATTGTCAAGATGCTTCCATTATCTCCCCTCTCCCTTCGTTCCTCATCTTGCCCTGCCTTCTTATCTTCCAGTCTGTCTTCAGCAGTAAAGACGCTGTCCTTGACCTCTGATAAGAATGTGGCAACCTTTCAAAGCTATCAGATGAGGCAGTGCCCAGTGCCCCCCCCCCTTCTAGCTCCATCCCACTACTCCTGCTTCATTAAACAGAGAAAATCAATTAGCGCCAATTAACAGTGTCTAGACATCCATATGGTGCAATCTTGGAGCAAGTAACGTCTAACCATGGATGTAGGGTCTAACCATGGAGGAGTGTTTCTTCCTCCATGGTCTAACCTTTGTTGATTCATAGAGCAATGGTTGATTGAACAACATTGCAGATGGTACAGTAGTGTTGTAGAGTCTTGTGGTCTACATGTACATGTACTGTAGATATATGTACGGGGAAAAAACTAGTAAATCATGACAGACGTACAGCGTATGTCATTTTGTCAATAGAGCAATGCTTGCATGTGTGCATTGTAGATAGTACTACGTGTGCAACCCCCAAACATGTACATGTACGGACATGCAATTGATTACAGATCACCAAATACATTGTGACTTTGCTCTCATGACCGCGATATACATTGTACATTGTAGATTTACGTATACGTGTACTGTGCTCAGTAGAATGTTACGCGATTCACGTTTCTATACTGCAGCAAAGCAGTGAATTATATTAGTTTTTCTCCCAAATAACCGATGCTGCAGCCTCACGTAGGTGCACAGAGGTAGAGGTGTGTACAGCTGAAGCTATAGACACTGTGTACATAATTGTTGTATTCCTGATCCCCTCCCTGCCCGTGAACCACCCCCGTGCCCCCGGTGGATCAGTCCACTCCTTTGATGCCAACACAAAGAGCATTGGGAGGGCACTATCATTATGCGCACACGGTGATCTCAAAATAGCCCTAATGTATGCGATGGATGGCCGGGCCATAGACAAACTACACACTACTCCCACTCACACAGCCTTATCAGCCTAATCCCACACCGGTGTCCGAACCCTCAGGACCAGATATATATATTAAAGACTGGGTGCAATTTTTTGGGTATTGTCCAGAGAGCACGGACGTGGATCAGTTGGTATTACCGCGTGTCTAGTCGACTATTGGATCCAAAACCATTGAGGTTTCCTCTTCTCCTCGACTGTTGCGGTATATGGTCAACCCCCTTCACTCAGAATCAGATGCAACCACACTGTGACTAGCTGTCTCATTACTGGGGAATTCCTCAGTGGAACTGTGCCAATACCCAGACCGCAAGGTTTCCCTGTGATCAGTGGATTGCCAACAAGCCAGAGGAACTACTCGCTTGACCAGATTGTTTCGTGCATAGGAAAGCCGTCATTATTGTGTGTGTACAACAAGGATTGACCGATAGCGTCCATGGACTATTACACCCTGCTAACTGACCAGCAGTGGCTGACCCCTTTGAGGGTCCGGACAGTCTTTATTGATTACCATTGTTGGACCCCTGAGGGTCATTTTGGACTTCGGACCAGCGTGGCTGCCTGCTGCACATCACAGCATTCAGAGGTGAGCACAGTACATTGGCATGCCGTTCATTGTTATTCCATACCCATTCATTGACTGGAATGGGCAAGCATGCACATGCTCTGTGCATAATGTCTTGACACAGTGCCAAGAGCCACACATGGTCGTTTCTCTATTTTGTTATCAGTCATTTCGCCCAACCACCCATCTCCTTTGTCTCGTAGTCAATAAAAAAAAGAGATCCACTTTAATACTGTCTGTGGGAATATCTTGAAGACTTGGTGTAGACATCTTCTGTTGTGAGTATTGTAAATCCATGTGGTTGCAGTGCGGCATTTGTTTACCGGCATTTGTTTACCGTCCGCTAGAGTACCGGCATATAGCGCCTGTGATATTCATATTCACAGTCATTTAGTATTCACGTTGGATAGCCATACGCTACGCAGCGCTGGGCATAAGTTAATAGTTAACTCGGCAGTCTGTACTCCCGTCTTGGTGAGTGGTTATACCATACATTCTCTTCAGTATTCAGTGCAGCACCTTGATTTTTACATTATCAGTATTAAGATTTTGAAAAAAACAAATATTTGGGGTTTTTTTTCCTGGTGGTTTTATATTTGTTCTTGAGTCAAACGACATGGTCGAAAAAAGTTGTTAAATGTTGGGTTTTATTTGCAGGTAATGATGCTTTTAGAACTTGGTTGCTGAATTTATTTTTATTCTGTAAAAAAAAAATGAAAATTGTGGTTATTTTTTTCTGTTTAACTTTGAGTTAATTTGTTACTTGTATTTTTTAGGAATGACCTTGCCTGATGGTATCAAGCACTGTTCATACTTGTAGATTTACACAAGTAATTATCTTTAAGACAGCTGTAAACCCTGATGTTAAAACTAACTCCTGAAGTTTTTACTAAAAAGCCATGTTCCCCATGAAAATTTGTCTCAAAACACAAACTTGTAGCTGCCAAGTAGCATTGCTTTTCTGCATAGTAAAACAGCACCAATATGAGGAAATCTTAAATAAAACATTCCAACAACATCAGAACTTTCAGCGAGTGACGTAAATTGCCTTCCACTTATCCTGCTTCAAAGCAGAACTTCAAGTCAAGTGACGTAAATTGTTCCTTAGTTTCTCTTGCAAAATCTTCCGACAGGTTTCATTTTGTTTCTGTTGAATTTTTTTTTGATTTTTTTTTTTTTACAAGTGTTATTTGTGCTTGTTTGTTGCAACTTGAATCTAAAAATGATATTGACACACAGAAGTGGAAAGGGTTAGGAATTTGACTGCCTTTAAAAAAAAAAGGAAGTGATGAGTGAACGTATAGGAACAGACTGTCGTACTTTACAGGAAAGATTCTTTCCGTGGACTTAGAGAAAGTGCTTCCTATATACTTTGATTAATTTAAAGTGCACACAGAAAGTACTTAACTTTTCAATTCAGAAAATGCATGGTTGTGAAAGAACACTTACAGGAACTTACTTGAAAATGGGCACAAGATTTTATTTTAATTTGGGGAATTTTTGTTTACAACGCATCGTGATTCCACACGGCAACTGCCAAGTAAAGATAAACAAAAGAACGTGAATCCTGTCACCAATTTCAAACATGAGCATTACCATTGTGATTTTTATGAAGATACATGTAATAGCTTCCTTATTGGTGACATCAGAACCAAAAGTTTCGCACCGTGTTGCTGTTAACCACTCTCTGATTGTTGTCGTGCTAGATTTCACATCAGATACACGTCCCTTAAAGAAAGGGAATTTCCCATTTGGTTGAAATACTTATTTTGGGAGGCAGAAACAAGCAACAAACGACAGCCTATGTACCTGTTTATTGTTTAATTTTTATCAAGAGTCACGGTCTGTGTACTCGGTGCACTGTACTGTGTTGAAGTGGGTCTAAAGGACGGCAGTTGGAAAAAGGCTACATAATGTACATGTACATGTTGTACACATGTATGTGTACGTGCACTATGTACAGTTCATTGTGTGTAACAGTCCACATTATTGGTCGTGTATTAAGAAGAGTCGCAAATAGGTATGTACCTGTATGAATGATACATGTCAAATCAGATCTAACATTGACGCTTTATAGTCACTGTAGCGCCCAAAACCGCCCTGCCTATTTCAATTTCAATTTCAATATAACATTTATTTATAGCCAACCATGAACAAAATACAATTCATACAGCATGTACATTGAAGAAAAATAAATATAAATTTTGTATTGGAAAAACAAATAAGTAAAATTGTAAATGACAAAGCATTTAATTAAAGCCATTACTGTACTGCCCGAAAACACCCGAGCTTTCTATGGTTTGGTTGGTTCTTTAGTGAATAAACACAATGTAATACAATGTAGTACAGGTGGTTATGGGTTAAAATTCTCTTTTTTTAGACTCGATCAAGTTGGGAATGGCGCCCTCAAGGAATCATGCACAAGTCATCTGAAAGCTCAATATAATTTAATGTTTTAATAATGAGATGGAAAAACCTCCATGTATAAATGTGCAGTGGCTACTGCTCTAGTTTTATTGATTTCTTCTTTTATTCCTCTCATGCCTCAGCTGTAACCCTGTCTACTACAGTCCAGACTGGACATCACTACCAATTACAATCAAACCCTGCTGTCCATAGGCTTTTGTGGCTGGACCTTTGTTGTCTGTATTCTCCCCCCCCCCCTTTCTGCATGCAGACACCTTACTCTCATTAGTACAGGGGGTATAAAGGCAGAATGGCTCCCATAAACTCTTCTTGGCTTGCTGAGGTTGGGGAGTGACCTTTGTCCACACACCTGTGGCCTAGTAGGGGCAGCCAGTACTTAAAGGCAACAATAGCATAACCACAACTCTTTAACTCCTTGGGCAGTTTTTAGTCAGGAACTGTCCTGAACTCTCTAGAATTCCTCTGTGATGTTAGAAACTAATGACCCATTTTTTTCAGTGACATGAGATTGAGGCTAATGAGGAATACAATCTTGGATTTTGCATTTCATTGCAGTGTGAGTTTTTAGTTGTATGTATACACTTGAGAAAACTGACATTAGAAAGAATGTATCAATATTAACAGATTTTGTTCAGCCCATTTTTGAAAGACAATCCCATGCCTACATTATGTACAGTACACATACGCTGCGGTGAAACAGAAGTTAGCTAGATTTTGTAAAGTACATTCATAAATACCTACAAAAACTACATGTAAGATGGTTTACCCAATCCTATTGGTCGAGAACCTGTCACGTGGATGGTTTTAAACACTAACTTGCTTTAAACATTTTTTCCCCGGCACCGCTGCGTTCTGCGCCACATGGCGCAGTACATGCCACGCACGTGCCAATCTCCATATCAGTGAATTTTAAGTACAACTTGTGCGTGGCACATACACATGTTGGGATGTTTCACAAAACGAATTAAAATTGTTGAAAAAAATCGCTGCAAATTTGTAATTTTTGATTTGTTTTGACTCTTAGGCCGAAACCCAAAAGGTATTTATGAATGGAAATAAATGTGCTTGGCCGCTAGGGACATGGTCGCGGACACAGGTCCCTAGTCTGTTACAGTACCTATAATTGTTCAAAACCGGTTTGAAACACTCCTGTAGGCCATGTTTAAAACTGGCCAAGCACATATTTATTCCCTTAGTAATGTACCGGTACGTCAGAAAGCATTACAGGTTTAAATCCCATGCCGGATATCCTAGAATTAAGTGTTACCCTCTAACCCCCATTTTTTTATCATATCACAAAAAAATCCATTGTCAATATGTACACTGCCCCAATATTCATGTGCACACGGATTGTTGGTGTGTGTAATGGGTGCTCCTGTGACCTTTGACCCCCACCAGTTGGAGCGCCTGCACCTGGGTTGTTTTCAATAGGATCCTTTGTGGTGGCATTTACACCTGTTGGGTTCCTTTGTGCTGTGAGGTAGGGGCAGATGGCTGTACCAAAAACGTGCATTACATTGCATACAATGTATACACACGTAGAGATAGGTAGAGAATTCACTGAAATATTCATCAGTGCGTGGCCAGAAGTTGTCATAGGTTGAATATAATTTAAATGGGCATTGCGGCCTGAAAACCCAAAAAACTTAAAGTTTTGGATTGTTAACCTACCGTAATGTTGCACTGTTCCTGAGAAAAGACACATAAAAAACACAGTGGTTTACATCGGACGCTGCAGACATTTTGTGGAAAAGTTATCATACATTGTATCTAACTTAAAGGGGCATTATGGCCTGTGATCATCGAAAATTTAATGTTTTACATTGTTAACTGATCCTATTTCAAAGGTAAACTGGAGGATAAGGAGCAGGAATCAATTTTGTTACGCTTTTTATGGAAAGGGAACCAAGAGTAACACGACGACTTGAGCGAAATGGCGACTTCTAAAAGCCGACTTAGAAATAAAAAATCCGGAAATAGAGTGGAAAAAGAGCTTTTTTATTAAAATATGCAACATGCCTCCTGTCATTTTATCTTAGGGCAAAGAGTTAATATGATGGAGAAATTTACTATGAGTTTACGCTCATTTGTTTGAAAATCAAATTCTTTCATACATTGAAAATCTCTGAACAGTGTCTCAAGTGAAATTCGGTGGGTTGTTGTTATTTTCCAGACGAATCTGGAAAAAGACCTTTAGGCTGGGCCTCCATTGAAAGAAATATTTATTAACTTGGTTGACAAGTAAACAACACAAACAGGATACACGCATACTTAGATCTGCGTGTGCGGACAAACACCATTATGACTTATTTGCAATTGACGTATGTGTGAGTAAACAATAATGCCATACAGACCTGTACAAGCAGCTGAACATCATGCCAACTGTTGTCCTAAAAAGTGACGACGTTCTCGAAAAAAAAAATATCAAATTGATGATCATCCTCAGGCAGTGATATACATGTAGATAGTATTTCCAGTCGACGAAGAGTCAAGGATAAAACAAACCAACGGAGTGCACGGCCAGCCCTGATTGATAACAAAATAGGAATGAATTGTTGCCGTGGCGACCGGTCCATGAGAAACGCTGCGGCTGATTGCGGGCATTAGCTGGTGCGCGCTATCGTGTTCATCCATTGCGGTGTTACGTCACTCTAATGCCTGTAAGCCACGCCGGTATCGCAGTCACGTGCGCGCACACGCCGGTCACGTCTGCTTATCAATCTTTTCCTTATTTGGTCCAGTTCTCATTATTTGCGACAAAAAACACCTGGTTTCATATTTCATGTTTCTGTACTTAATACAACAACAAGTAAACCTGAGCCATTGATAAATGATGTCATCACATCTTACAGACAAAGATTTTTATTTTTATTTTTTTAGGTGGGTGTGTGTTTTGGTTGTATATCCCCGTCTGTTTATTGTTGTTTTGCTAGTCGGAATCTGTCTAACGAAACCCCTAAGCCCGGGTTCCTTTCCGTTTCCTTACTCCCCCAGCGTATTAGGATGACACATACGTCTGCTAAACGGGTCCTTAGCACTGGAAGTCC